TGAGGAATACAATTCACACAGTACTGGAATGGACACAAAACACAGATTTTAATGCATTTCCCAGGCGCATTTCAAAACCAATTTAAAAAGTTATTTGTTATTGAGTTAAGGGAACAAGACTGGCAATTTGCCCAGCGCAAACAAAAGTAACAGTTGCTTGGACTGGGATGATGGAACGCTTCTCAAAAGAGCGGTCCTAACTGCCTTCTATTGTGATTAATGAGGTGGAACAGCAGATTGGGCAGTAATACTCAAAAACGTATGCAATAAAACAGGCTCTAGGAGGAATAACCAGCTGTAATATAGTGGTGGGTACTTCATGGAGTATCAAACTACAGAATAACAAACAGCAGAGGAAATGACAAAACAACCACAGTTTGTCTGGGAACAAAGTCACTTTAAACATTTGGGAAATTTTCTGACTTATTAATTTGAGACCCAATTGTCTGACCATGTGACCAGTTGGGATATTCCATTTATACAGACAGGGGTGAGAAAATTAAAGACTGGTAAATTTGTGTGTGCAAATCTATAATATTATATTGGAACATTGTACATTTGTGATAACTGTTTTTGAAGTTGGGTTACTACATTTACACAAACAGGGGTGGAAGGTTCAGAATCAATTTATCTATTCTATATACCTATAATTCTTGGAAGTAATCCAATTCAGTGGAAATGTTTTTGTATCTGTTTGCGAAAAAAAAAACATAAAACACTAACCTTTCTTCAACCATTGTCATCGACTGTACTTGGTTGTGTGGGCTTCCTGTCATGCTATGGACTGGAGAGGCATGGTTACTGTAGTTAGAAGCAGCCGTGGCTGTGCTACTGCGGCTAGAATGAGCACTAGAAAACATCCCTGAAATTAAATCAAAAACAATATGAAAAAAGAAAATAATAATGTTGTTATTCAAAAAAATCAAAGTTGTTCAATTATGTCTGACTTGAGGTAAAGGGTTAAAGTTGAATTACCTGGGTACATGTCTGATGAAGTACCAGCCATTGAGGAATGTGGCGACCTCCCCAGACCACTGTCACTTAGATCCATTGGACTACTATGGTTATCAGAGGGAGGGGGTAATGGTTGTAATGGCTGGATTGTTAAGCATTCATTCAGCATGTCTTGATGTGGACTATATTCACCACTTGTTCTGAACTGGAAAGGAAAAGTTAAACAAACTTAAAAATTGGTTGCAACATTTTTTAGGTATTTTTTTTTTTTTATTTCTTTTTTATTTCAGATCAAATAAACATAATGAAATATTTCCAACATGTATTGACTGAAATGTTTGAAAAAAAAAAGGAAATTTTGTTAAGAGTTTAATTTTGTAAATTATGACAAAAGTTGACATTGGCGGTCAAAGTTTTAAAAATAAACATCTTTGCTCAAAAGTTTATAAAATCAGTTTAATATCAGCCAAGTCCCCAACTTTATAACAAAAAATTCATAGTGCATCAAAAAATAGTCTAAATCTATTTGTTGTATAAATTTGTAAGTGACCAAAATAACCTTTCATTCACCATTCTCGCTCAGAGAGCATAACTAACTTTGCCTAGAAATAACTCGTTCTATGGTCGGTCAGCCTCAAACAAATGCAATGACCTGCGAGAATGACTAGTTTAACTGGTGACTCAAATTACAATGAATATTGATAAGCATGGGTATTTTTGTACTTTGACGCCTGAAAATATTGACTAGAACAATCAAATGCTATGAGAGTCGATTGGTGACTACATGCTTACCTTTTTCCTTGCTTGCTGTTCTTTGGCAGTGTGTGCCTTTACATGTTTACGTAATGAACTTGGATCTGTGTATCGCTTTGTACATCCAGGGATTTGGCAAGCATAAGGTTTCTATGAAAACAAGACAAGCTAGGGTGTTTAATTTTCAGATAGAGTACTATAAAATGGCTGTTTTTTTGCTAACATGCTAATTAGCTAGTCTAGCAATTCTGTATTTTCATTTAATCAAGATGTTGCTAATTGCGAAATGTTCAAATAAACGTTGTCTATTCGTATGACTTTATAGCTAAAAGCAAGAAGCCAAGATCACCTACTGATCCATCGTCTCTCACATCCTCCAATTCATATACGAGTTTTGGTTAACATATTATTAAATAATGGTAATTTTAAAATGATTAGTTATTTAATTTTATTTAATTTTTAACCCAACTTTTGAAAATATATTTATTGCACAACAAATGAATTACAGTTGTTAATTTGTAACGTTGTTAATTTGTAACTTTATTAACTGATTGCAATATGATTTTCAGCCGATTAAACGTCCTGCCATTTGCACCATTAAGTTGTGATATACGTAACAAGCGTGTTTCACAACTAGAAATACTACACTTGAGATGTCATAGAAAGTAGAACATGAAGGACACTTCTCATATTGCTGTATGGATTCCTGACAGAAAACAAACATGAGGCTACGAATGAGGAGACAAGTAACTGTAAAACACATCGGGGGGGGGGGGGGGGTGCTGCATTAAATGGAAGTATCCCCATTGATTCTTTGCTGTGATACCATGGTATGGATTGGCTATAAATCATCAGCCAATCACGAGGGGATGTCAACGGACCTCACGTGGCAGATGTAAAGTCTTTAAATTTGTAGAAATTTGGGATTAGCAAGTGAGCACGATGCAATAAATCATCTACAGTTTTTTGTATCAAGTTTTTTTTTCTTCTAAAAGCAGACTTTTTATAGGTTGCCCCAGGAAGAATAACCCATACAGCAGATCCCATATGCACAGGTGCCTACTTGTGAGATACATGTATATATAATTTTTATAAAGCAGCCACAGTTGTTTTGGGAAAAAGATTTGTCAGATTATACGTATGTGCATTAGTCTCTATACTTTTGGTATCATTTCATGAAATTGTTAAACCTTCACACATTCACAATTTTGACTGATACTCGGACGGCAAATTAAAAATTCTAATTTTGTTTTGCAACAGATTATCCATTGTTTATTTTTTACAAAATATCAGAGAAATATTTCTTAAAATATGGGTTAGGAGTGTCCATCAAAAAGATTCATCTGCAAGCCAAATATAAAGATAAAAATGTGAAAAAACTATAAAGCAATAACCACGAATTTAACCACCCAATCAACTTTGAGTTTGTAACAGCGATACTTTTAATTGCATTCCAGTGATAATATCCAAACTATTTTCACAAATTGGGAGATGACAAAGTAATCTAGCAGAAATAATTCATTTATTCCTGTGCACCTTGTGTATTTATGAATAAACTAATTTTATTAAAAATACAGTTACAAACGTCCAGAACATTTACAACAAAAAATGCATATGCATGTGGCAATAATGCGATAATATTAACCTTGTCCTCAAAAATAGTTAACATTCAATGTCTGAGGCCTTAGTACAGAGCTAAATGTAACATTTGCTGAACCCCAGGACATATAATCATAAAGATAATTTATTTACAGTATATTTATCGCTAAAACACAGATGTTCTTTTCACATTTCAAACTGAAAAACCATTTTTTTTATTTCTTATCAACAACAAAAAAAAAACACAAAAAAGATAAGTGTATACACCGATTGATTAGTTGTAGATATGCAACATTCCTGAAAATGTCGCAATGACAGAGGAGTGGACGTTGTCTACAGTTGATTTCCAGCAAATCAGTATATCTACTGAAATAAACAGCTTTTATAGCACAGATAAGAATGAATGAACTTTTTAGAGGGTAGCTCAGGTTATTTGCCCAGTTCCCCCCAGAAATGAATTGACCTTTTGACCTGAAGGCTGTTCACAACGTTATCAGTGCCATTACCAAAAACTGTTTACAATTTTTTGGAGGGATCTCAAAAGTTATGACAACAATTTTTTACTTTAATTTTTCCAAATAGGATAAAACTAACCAATCATAAATGGGCATTTGAGACAGCTGTTGGAACAGTTTTTATGTCATTGCAGGGGAGTGTTTTTCCACAACTGAGAACTATAAAAGGTAAACAACCGCTAAGAAATCTTATAGTTGTTATTGTAATTGTTTCCAACTGAGTACATATTGCCTGACCTTTGACTTTGGATATTCTCAGAGGTATGGTGGAGCAAAAAGCGATGTGGTTCCAAAGTTGGTCACATTGCTTTCTAATCTCTCGAGTCATTTTCCAAATCAGTACCAAAGCGTTGATGGAAATAGTCTGCGAGAACTTCCAAAAACAGATGTGCTTCCCACTAAATATTAGTTTATCACTATAGACAGCATAAAGTTCTTAAACAGAATATGTTGTACGAGGCAACACCTACGACACCGTATCTATATAAGTTATTTATATACTTACTGTGTCAAGATGTGTACGTTGATGCTTAGCTCTGTCTGAGGAATTACTGAACGCCTTGTTACAGCCACTGTATTGGCACAAATATGGCCGCTCCCCTGTGTGCGACCTCAGGTGGATCTTCAGATTTTCTAAACGCGAAAACGCTTTATTGCAACCTTCAAACTGAAAACAAATATATAAAAAGAATTAAATTTTTGCGAACAACGACATCTTAATAACTTTAACATTCACATAAAAAATAACCGACTGGATTTCTTCAGAATTTTAGAGCTTGGACAGAAACGTCAGATGTTAAAATCAAGAACCAGACTGAAAATATACTAAGATAAGCCTGCCCATGTTATTAGGGTATTTATGCCCGCTGTTTTCTGAGCTCAATCCATTATAGCCTTTACTTTACACTATCAAATTTCTGTTTTGTGTATTTTTGTGACACATGAAAGTACAGAGCAGACTGACAGCCAAGGAGTACAGAAGTGCTGCACTAATGGACAATCTGATTCTTATCTTCCCTGCACTATACTATGCTGCAAAAACAAACAAATCATTCTTTTTTTATTTAGTTGTATACAAATCACTCTTTCTTATTTAATTATATACTATTCTTCTTTTCCTAACAAAAACAAAAAGCAGCTTAAAACTTAAATTCCATACTACACTAAAATGCAATACATAATAATATTATTTTTTTTTAATTTTGTACATATAGAGTAGCCAATGGAAAATTATGCCAATGTGGCCCAAAATGAACAATTTATATTTAATATATTTTGCACATTTTTTTATAATTGTTCTGGAAATCTGTATAATCAACGACATGTTTATAGCGATTATAAATTTAAAACCAAATACCACCATGTGACATGTTACACACGTTCTAGCTACTTAAATTTCCATCAGTACAGGAGCAATATATTTCATACATAAATCCTCAGTATTTTATATGACAGTATACAAAAGTCAAAAAAAAAAACATGTGTTCGATAAACAGATTTGACATAAAACAAGCTTGAACAAACACTTACTGAAGTTTGAGATATGTAGACAAAGACGATTTAGGGCATTCCACACAAACTTGGAGAAGTATCACAAACTCATAAACTAGGATTGCCTCAAATTTACGTCACACTCGTCAAAATGTAACTAGATGCAATGTACTAGTACTATATTTGCTCTATTAGCAGTACATTCACTTACATAAATGACAGAGGTGCGTCATATTTTCATGATCAAGAATTCAATAAATATAATATTTGGTTCATGTGTACTCCAATGTATTTTTAGAAAATTTGCTCTCGATTGAATCCCAACTCAAAAGAGTAGCATAACAATAACCTTTATTGCATAATCATATTTTTAATTGGATATTGACTCAGGAAAAAGAAAATTACAATAAAGATGAAGAAAGAAAAAAATATATTCCATATTAAAAATTCATTTGCATAAATCAGAAATGCATATTATATTAGAAACTCATTCACAAAAATCTCCATGACACACAAAAAATTCCATATGAAGAATTATTTGCATTAAACACCATAATTTCAGTCCAAAAAATATACCACTTATGTACATTTCACTGCCAAAACAATTTTGAAATTAATTTGCATGAAACAGATGAGATCCCTTGTACTCTCTTGTTCACTGACTACCTTCTGACTAATCATTTTGCCATAATCAATTGAACATATACCACAGTACTGACAAGTCTAACAAGTCTATAATTGCTTCAGTATGACAACAATCCAGTGTTTATCTAATCACTTAATTTAAGGAATTGCATGAAAAAGAAACATTAGAAATGTTTTATTTATTGTATTAGAGGTGGAGTGTCACTAAATATTTATAAGAAATGTTAGACTCTGATATGGGCTAGCTCTTGAAATATGTCCTTGACTCATCAACTAAATCTCCCAACATGTGTTTGTCAAAAACTGTCACACATAGTTTTAGGGTTTGAATGCTTTTATTTTTCTCGCCAAAATTTTGGTTGCTTATTTTGATTGTTCAATTTTGAGACTGTCAGGGTTTTTTTTCTCTAGTTTTACTGTTTTCTTTCTTAATTTTAGACATTTGTCTCAGACAGAAATGTTAACATTCTATGACATGTTGTATTTGCACACAAATTTGCAAGTTTACTGTAATTTTCTCAAAATTATTGACGTCGATTTTTGAGACACTAATCTCACCATAAATTTAGTCAAACTTGCATTTTACATAAATTTGATAAAGAATGTTCAGTTCTTCAGTCAAAAATATTCTTTGGCGAAAACAAACATGCCAGTTAAAAGTTAAAAGAGATAACAAATGGGAACTGACAGTATAGGGTTTATTATGTATTATGTTACGTCAAATCGGGTCAATTCGTAGACTCAGACATGATATAGAAGCCGCTATTAAATAAAACGATTATCCATTTAAACAACTAAAATGTTACCGCGAACTCCACCCCTTGTGATTCATACCACAAGACAGAGGCAAGAATAGGACTACAACAACAGATGAGCGGTAAACGGAAAAGGTCAAAAAGATCATCTTTTGTCTGAAAAGTAATCTTATTCAATTGTTTGTAGTTATTTGAAAGGACAATGCATTATTATCGATGTGTCAGTGCAATGTCTTCAGGTACTATCCAAACATGATGACCTAATTCTCCACCATTGCAGCACAGATGAAAAGTTACGGCTCTCAATCACTAAACACAGCTGTTTCTTTTAAGTCAGCATAAACAACTTTGCTAAACATATCGTTGCAGGGTCAGTCATTTTTAAATATGTTTGATACAAGATGCAGTAAAAGCAGAAAAACAACTAAATGTCATTTTGTTGGTACAATCTCATTAATTTCAATTATTATTCTCTTCATCACCAGTTCCCTCTTTTCATCACAAATTCACAAAATAGAATTTTCTGTTTATAGTCTGCACTTTCCTCCAGTCTGCACTTTTGTTGTTTTTGTGGGACAAACATAGTCAAACATTTTGAGTAAAAAGTGAAAATAGACTCAAATTTTGTCTGTTGACTCCAAAATTAGGGTTTACTTTCAGTAATATCAAACAATATGAGAAAAAAGTGCAGAAAAATTTGGGCAAAGAAGTCTGGTTGGGAAAAGGTTAATTTTCATAATTTTGCATAATTTAGTTTGTGGATAGGGAGAAAGTAAAACAGGTAAACAATTCTGAGTATTCGCAGTGAAAATATTAATTAATATTAATTTAATTTTCAAACAACTGCTTTTCAAGAACTTTGGAATTCAATTTATAACGATTAATATAAATTTTCATTTTCTTCCAAACCAACAAACATAAACACCACCAAGCCTTCATGACGGAACAGAAATGTACCGGCAATGGTCAATGAGGTTTTGGCGGGAAAACTTTCCTAGCTCCCCGCATCAAGTGGCAACATGTATACTGTAACGCAGATAAACATGGGTGTGACTTGAAGGAATGCAATGAATGCATGGCTTCACCTGAGTCAATGTAACTGAATTAGAGGCCATATCGTTTTCTAGTTATTTTTGGCTACATCATTACAGCAATATATACCACAGCGTCAAGTAACTGCATGTCATGCAACTTTTCCTTCATTTCCGAAACCTCTCAACAATTTCCAAAATTCGAGAAGCCGTGGAAGACAGAAAGTCACAGGAGGAGTTACATTACGAGTCAAGCATCATTTCTTCCGCCAAAATTTTTATTTACATTTTCCTTGATTTCATTCAATGTTATTTTCGGACAAGATATTAGTTTCCAATTTTGAGCAATTTTTTGTGACCAGAGAAAACAGGATATCATATGGAGGTCAAGGGTCCAACAGAGAATAAGTATACAAGGAATTTAAAGCAGAAACGATATGACACAAAGATTTGAGTTAAAAAAACACAAAATTCTTCCGATTTTGTTCCAAGTTACAAAGTGCTATGAGGTTTTGCAAGACATTTCATGGTAAAATGAGGTTGTATTCAAAGACTGAGCTCAATATAAAACAGATAAATTGTGTCAACAAAAAAAGAACACCACTAATGCCAATTTTTTTTCCAAAAGAAAGTGATAGGGTAAAAGGGTCAATAAGTTGGACTATTCTATTTAAAGGTAAATAGGGGTGATAGGGTTAAGTAAACAACAGGTACTACAATCACCATATAAAATAGTCAACATGATATTTAGTTTCCTACCGCTATTCTACTCAAATTGTTTACAATTTCCATGCTATATTGTCTATTCTGTATTTTTACACTACTCTCTACGCTATATTCTATCATTCTTAGACTGAGATAAGTTGTTCAGGTGAAAAAAAAATCATAAAGGAGTTGCTTCTGGTGCTTGGTACCAATAATAACGATGGACCCTTGGGGTCAACATTGTTATGTCAATGACCAGCAACCGATAACTAGCAAGTAATGAGCAAAACGTCAATTATAATTATCAAAAAAATGTAAATTAATAAAAAAGAAATACTATACTCTCAGGTATAATTTGTGGATTTTAGTTTGAGTTGGCATACAAGTCCACATTACTCTTGTTATTTCCTCATAATTAACAAAATCTATATTAGTATTAATCTGGCGTGGAGATAAATAATTAACTTGATAACTTCATAAGTTCATTTGAGATGTTCCCGGTCAACTCGTATGAGATGTAAGGTAATATGTTTTCAGAAATCAACTGACATTTAAAACATGTTATTGTTGAAGGAGATGGATCAGGTTAATTTAATCACTGTGAAAGTGAACATTTTTTCGTATGCTAGGGAGTTTATTCTAGCAAAATATAAATTAGTGCTTGAATGAGAAAGTCTAAGTATCTTTAACATTTTAGAAGATGAGTTAGAAAATATACCAACCAAGAAATTAAACTTTGAATTACAGCCACTCCCATGTTCTCAGTATTTTTTTTCCCTCTCGATAACTTTTACCCAAACTTATCAAAATAAAGTGGTTAGTATAAATTTAAACTCTACAATACAGCACATCTGCAAATTTGTCTTTTGAATCAAACCAAAATATATCAACATGAGCTCAAACTCCTTATATCAGATTTTACCAGGATCCTGGGTGTATGAACAGGAAATGTTTTCAAATAAGTAAATTACAAATAAAAAGTTAGTTCAGTTTTAGATCGAGTTTATCCGTACACTTTGTGGAAATGATTAACTAGTTTTATTAGAGCAAATGTGGAATGCCCGGCAAGTTGACCTGCTGCAGGCACGAAATTGCATATCGTTAAATAAACTAACCGAAGATAAGGCAATCTTTCGACAATAATAATTACTGCCAAATTACAACTCAATGATGTGCTTAGAATAAAACTGTCACACAATTACAACAGTACTGATACCATTTTGTTCGGTTTCTATAAAAAAATCATTAAGTACAGACACATACTTTGCCAGTATAAACAACCGATGAATAAACACTTCTACAGATGATTGCAGTATTTTCAATTGATTTACGTTTAAATGACAATAATATTTTCTTAGTCGTATATTTTCCCACTAAACTTTCAATAATTTTAAACAAAATAATATATACAGTGAAAATAACCAAACTGAACTGTAGTTGTTGGCGAAAAAAAAGATATTTCAGATAAATCAACTTTAAGTCACCATTCATTTTTCCATAATTTTGATCAAGATGTGTAGCCTATAGAAAAATAACTCAATTTGGTTCAAAAGTAACAAAAAAATTTGTAGTAATATGCAAAATTTTAACACGAAAATTAGGGTGAATAAAGGGTACTGTAATCTACAGTATTGACTAAAACATAGTCTAACTATTAAAACCTTGCCCAAAATTCAAATACGAAAGCATAATGATACTTACTGTACATTTATTTGGTTTTTCTCCCGAGTGAACCCTCATGTGTATCAGCAACTTGTACCTTGCATTGAATGGTTTATATTTACGAGAACAACCTTGCCAAAAACATGTAAAGTCGTCACCCTTTCTTTGGTCTATGTGTACTTTTTCAATATGGCGTACAAGCTCTTCCTGTTCATTAAAAATAGCGTTACAGTCAATCCATTTGCAAAGATGTATTAGTTTTTCGCCATTCTCACCAGTTTCAGTTTTGATTGTTATTCTGTTCAAAGGAAGCTGGAGTGGTGGAGGAGGGGGTGGCGGAGGCATAGAAGCTGCGGTTCCCATTGGCACTTGCGTTGTTTCCATGTGTTGTTGATATGAGGGGGGTGGTGGCATGCTTATATTTGGCATATTTTGATTGGGCATCGTTGTCGTCGGCATTGACGTTGGTATAGACGGTGTTGACGACTGATACGTGTCCATTGCGTCATGCTTGTAAATATTCAAATTGACGAAGTCCTGTTTTATTTCGTTGTAAGGCTGTACTATTAACTGACTTTGAACTTGTAGATTGCCCATATTTTGTTGTGGATGTTGTTGTTCATAGTCAAGATTGTTCTCGACCGGCATGCTGTAAAGTTGACTATGTTTTGGTGCATGATAAGGAGGAGGAAGAGACACACTACTTTGTCTAGAGTGCATACCACTTTGGTATCCGGAATGACCAAACGAACCCTGTGATTGTGGACTATTGCGTACTGACAAGTGCCCATAGTCTCCAGGTTGAAGACCTGGTGCTGGTGAGACTGAACATGAGGACCCACGTGAACCATTTATAAATGACACCAAAGAAGTTGGACTAGTACGGATGATGTCATTGATGTTGAAACCCTCAGTTGACAATGGTGAAAGAGACAGGGCACGTTTCTTTGACCTTGCTGAGTGCGACCGTGCAGAACCCCGCGGACTTGCAAAACTCGAACCTGAAGGAGAGATGAAATCAACTGGGAAAGGTGAGAGAGACGTGCTACTACTTGGATACTGAGACAATGCCGACCCTGGAGGCGGAAAGTTCTGGTCACCCAATTCATTACACCCATGTGGTGTTGTAAGCTGTGGTAGCACCTGATACTTCTGCCACTCTTGCTTAATTGTCATTGTCGAATGCGGCCCAAGAAATTGTTTATCAGTGCATGTTGTTGTAGGGGCAGTGAAGGTATGCTGCGATGAAGGCGTAATTGATTGGTTATGAGACGAATATTGAATGGATGAGATATCGCTTGGTGTCGGTGACGCATTATTAATGGACAAAGATGGCATTGCACTAGATCGCTGCATTCCTCCATTTTGTTGAAGCGGTAAATTGGTACGGTTTTGTAACGGCAGTGTACCTCCTATACGTGAAATATTGGAGTTGCTCATAGTATGGTGCATCCCCTGGGCAGTGTTTGGTGGCTGTGGAGTAATTCCATATGCTTGAGGACCAAATCCTGACACATCTGAAATAAACAAATTTAGAGAACATGACACATTACAAGTCCTAGTGGTTTAATTGTTGCAAAAACTTTACCCCTGTCATCATTTGTAAACTTCCACAAAGTATTTTTGCATATTTTAGTTAATTTGCATATCATTAGCCTTTTTATTGCCATTGGCAACTTTTGTCACCTTCCACGAAAATAATTCTATATGCAAAACAATGATATCATGCCACAACCAATAAAAATACCACGACAGTAAATACAATTATTAGAATGACACGCAGGAGAAATACAATTCTACAGTCATAGAGGACCTATCCTGTCACATATTCCTCTGAATTTCTACCATACACAAATACTCTAAACTTTTTATTGGAATATTACAATAATATTTGATTTCCCCTCTAATCAACTCCAGATGTGTCATTATGCGACACATTCAAACATAAACTATTGCAAGGGATCTCTTTGTTCCTCTGGAAAAAAAATGTTTGCATATTTTTAAAATTACAAATAAGACTTAAAAAGATATCAACAAAATTAAAACTTGATAAAATATTTGATCTTTGACCTAATAAAATCTAATCAAGTTCTTAAGATGCGTGGGATTAATTGAAAACTCCCATGAATGGTGTGAGAAAAATTCTTAACATTACACCGAGCATTAACCCCGGCGTTTTACAGCGGTAAAAAAATATCTCATCTCAGTGAGTCATCTAACAATGAAACACGTAACATTTGACACGGAAGTCAGAGGTCAACCGTAACTGCCTAGAGGACTTTGCAATTCAATAGTCGATTTATAGAAAAGGTAAAATTCTTGTTACTTCAACATTTTGTACAAACACGAGATGAGAAAACAGATAATGAATAACACAAACAACAGGAAAGCATAATGCCTCAGTGCAAAACATAAATTAAAACTTGTGTGGCCAAATAAAATTGTTTTTGTAAGTCAAATCTAATTTTTTTTATGTAATTTGGATTATTAATTAATCTCCCATTAGCTCAACTCTGATAAGAAACAAACAAAACCTGTGCCAATCTGAATGCTGTGATACATACGCAATATATGATTTATTTTAAAATGTCACCAACAAATTGTCATACTTTCAGTAGAAACATGTGCTAGACCACAAGATCTGCTACTGGTCCCTCCTCCTCTCAGTGTTTCCTACAAGGCTGCATGTTCTTCACTAGTCACAACTTGGACACAATCACTATTGCACACAACAGTAAACATTCGGATACAAATGTGGTTATTTTTTGTGATGAAAAAAATGTTTGTTTTTTTTGTAGAAATTACTAATCATAATAACTAATACTTCATTACCAAATTAAATGAGATCATCACAAAACCAACAGAAATTTTAAATAGCAAGTTTGTTTTAAAATAATAGTCTGAGATATTTTGGACCAACAGTCTTCTGTTTCCGGTATTTGTAATATCTCTTATTAAGTTGACCATCATCTCCAAGTCTCCTCTCTAGTATTGAATGGTTTGGCTTAAACAAATACCATTTTAAAAGAATTAAATTATTAAATTAAACCAAAATACTTTAATAGGACAACTAAAGAAAAAATCAACCCTCTTAAACTTTAGCTGTACATCAATGGATATGAAATAATGAGAAAATACCATAAAATTTTGCTGTAGTTGATTTCATCACACGATAACTACATTTAATTTAATTTACTATTAATGTTACAAATATATGTTTAATTATCACAAATTTCATTTTTTGCGATTCGATAATGAGGATTTCATGAAAGAAACTGATTCAATGTATTAAGAATGTCAATTACATCCCTGCTTAAAAAAGTCACAATTTTTGTGATTCATGAAAATTTTTCACCGACAAAATGACAGCATTTCACAGTATAGACCATGAAAAGAAAATCTAAATTTATTAAAGAAATTAAAATGAAACTACTTTGAATGGCTATCAATGACTGGGCATAAATGAGTGCATGTTATTGTAACTTGGATACGCTTCTATGAAGTTTTATCACACAGGGTACAGATGGAATTTCTAGAGAAATTAGGCGCTATGGAGAACATTTGGTAAAATATATTAATAGGTACACTTAAGAATCAGTGTACAAATGAAACAGTAATGCTTGGTGATATATACAAGGATATAGCATTAATTAATTTATGTTTGTTTAAAGTTCAAAAATAGAACTGGCATATGATTCAAGATTCAAGTTCAAATAAAGTGAGAAAAAAAATCTGCAGAGTCTTGGTGATTATTACTGTGACCGCAAGAAAGAATGGAACATTAATATTGCAGTATGAGACATTGTTTTGCTAACAAATAGTTCGTTTACACAAAGTGTTGCCAAAGGAAGCAAAGGCAATATAGCAAAACAGTGTCTCATACTGCAATATTGCCATTCCATTTGTCTGTGGTCACAATAATATTACGCTTAGCAGTCCTTTAGAGGGACTTCAAACAAAAACAAAAAAGTCAAAAAAGTAACAAATCAGAGAAGACCGAAATGTTTAAGAAAGAGTCATTAAAAAATATATATCCAGGATAAAAAAAATAGCAACATGATCAACAATGGCAATAAAGAACGTATTCGTTTTGTTTTTGTAATCGCTGAGGGTAAGGTAATTCAAGTCATATATCTTCATTTTTTTATTGCAACGCAGCAAAAACAACTCAACCAACAAACTTGACAGACAATGGACAGATGACAGACAATCAGTTATAACACTTGAGCAGAACGTAGTCGTCTTATGTGGTAGTGATCTATGACATCTGCTGCATTTTCTTTTATTAGATGTTTGTTTAGTTTTCATCAAAATCTTTTTTTTTCAAATTCAATTAAGCAAGAGAGTCAGTCCTACTTGAACTTGTACCTTGCCTTGAGCACGTGGAGGCTCAAGATTAAACCAAAGCAAGCAGAAAAAGGCTGTAATCCTGTACTTATGCCAATAATACACACTTGACTTGGGGGTGAATAGAGGTGTATACATTGTCAAAGTAGTTATAATCTAAACTGGTTAAATACCATGTTTTAATGGAGTGTGAGAAGGCAACAGCTGAGACAAGGTGCTTTCAAACCCCATATCTTTTCGATTCATGCCAGCTTGGGTGAAATGATAGCGACCTGTCAAGCAACCAACTAAGGACAGCTGAATACCAAGTGGGTGCCAAACAAATGAGAACCCAAAACTGACTGTAAACGGTCGTAAAAATTCACTTTCCACATCAGCGCAATATCCAGGCACTACTTATAACACATGGTGATTTGCACACAAGATTTTGTTATGAACAATACAAAACACAAACACCAGAAGGAAAAGTACAATGAAATTGTTGATTTTATATCTTTAAAGACCTAGTAGTGGAATTGACACTCATTAAATTGACATTATCTTGATCACCAATTATAGATAACATAGTAATAACATATGACTGAGCATCCTCAATTTGGGCTCAGACTGCTCTGCTAGAATAAATCTCAAGTTTAAACTACTTAGGCAAATATAAGAAAACCAGTAAAGGAGACAAAAAAACAAACCACCACAAAGCTTCTGTTCACCAAGCTGTAACAACAAACACAAGTTTTCACTCTTCACAAAAGATTGTTATATTATTTTTACACTGTATTATCCCGTCATATGCCACACATCATGCTCAAACAAAGAATGCATAGTTATGGATTAAACTTGTTTTGACTCAAAAGGAACGATCACGACAATCCAGTTTTTGGATTATTTTACGTTTATCATAATTATTTAATAACCACCAACCATAGTTATCAACAAGATTCCCAGATTTAAAGTTCATAATGACCGTATGAATATTAAATTAGCATCATAACAAATAATAATTATTCTATTGCCTTATCTTGGGATTACTCATTCATCCTTTCAAGAGGAGAACTCTTTCAGGCATCACAATACCTTTCCTACTTTGAGCCAGCGTGCATTCTTTTGTTCACAGCCTCTTTTTAAAAACCTAAGCTTTTTTACTTTCATGAAGCATGCAAAAGTCTGGTTTTCCAAACGACAAAACCAGTACTAGAGATCAAGAACTATAGTAAGACAGCTGCTAGAATAATTTTTCTAAAACATCAACAAGACTAAGAATTAATTATAATACGCACACACGGGCTAATTTGTTTGAAATCAAGCGAACAGTGCGCATGACAAAATCTTTGTACGAGTCTGTCTTTTATGTGATTGGACTGCACCGTTATAAACTGATTACCGTCTAATTGAGAGTGGAATACTAATTCCCCTGAGCTATAACATACAAACAGTTCCTTAGTACCATAATCTTCTAATCCTTTTATAAACAAAGTGTATCGTCTTGGAATACAGTTCTTGATCGGAAGTACGTGCACAGTAAGTTAGGTTATGTGTCCACAATTGCATTTCCCAATATTAACCGCTATAGTACATAAATGATTAAAAGAAAATTAATCACAGACTCTTCACAAAAAACAAGAGTAAAAAAAAAATGTGAATCGTTTCATGGACGTCTAATGGCAGCATAAAAGACACCTCGGACAATGAAACAAACATCATGTTATTGGGAGTGTGCCATCCATGCGTTGAACACAAATTACACGCTAGAATGAGACACACAGTAAACCCAATGAAGCAAAAAAGATGGGAGAAACATTGGTAAATGCTCCGAGACATGCACCGCTTCCTTTCAAAACACACGGCCATGACAAATCAAGGAGAATACATGTATTCGCAGGACGTCACGGAGTTGTGTACGAGAACAAATCCCGCACAACGAAAACACAATAACGCATGGATGCAATTCTGTGAAGGTCTAAAACAACACTGCTACCTATTTCGAATAATCTTCTATACGTCACCCCATCAAAATCAGCACAGTACTTGTCCTTAATATAACTTGTTAAGCCTTAAACAAATATTAGCAGTGTGTATGCCACATCAACCAAGGAGAGAATAAAGGAGAATTTTACAATAATTAGATCACTGCTCTCTTTTCAATAACCAATTATTAATAATGAAGCAAGCAGTA